AAGTCGCCGTGGAGTAGTGGCAGTGCTCTCGGAATTTGCACTCCAACGGGAGGAGAGCTTATGACCTCCAGGGTGAAGAGCGAGGGCACCACCACTGCTCCGCGGCGACTCTGAAAGCCTGGGTGCAGCACGGTTCATGTGCAGTGCTTTACTTTAGCCAACTTTGACTGCTCACAACTTCCTTGGCAGGTTCATTTTGCAGTTTTAGTTTCCATATTTGTAATCAGCGTTTGAAGCTCTATCGATATATCTGGGTCTCAATTCAAAGTTCCATGGGAAGTTGAATGCCTTTCCTGGTTAGTACTCGAAATGTCGCGAGAATTCACAACGTGCGCCATGCATTTGAATGTTGCGGAACGCCCGCATCCCATCTTTCCCCCCATCGTCGATTCTCTCTGTGGACGTATTGGTTGATCAGTTGTGCTCTTTCTACTAAAAGTTCTGTCCGAGACACACATCACCTTTTGGTTCATTGTCTTCCTATTATACTTCTCCGCATTCTCCGCAACGTGGAACAAAGAGATTTGTGGTTCTTACGATAGTTCTTCCTATCTTCCTTTTTTCTGCACGTGTGGTCCACCTCGCAGCTCTACTTTGGTATTCGAGTGGCACCACACCAGACTGATAATGACTCTTGCCCTTCATACACCGAAATGGTGCACACAACTAGGACTCCTAGTATTCGTGGAATAATCAGTCGATGGTAATAAAATAAGAAAAGAAGTTCCAAAGAAACAGGAAAATATTAGTACAATAGTGAAGCGCGTAAAAAACGGAGACCGAAGTGAGCCGGCAGGTGTCAGACTGTAATAAAACTAAACGCGCCATGACAGAGAACCGAAAGCGGGCCCCTGACGCGAGCCGTAGTGCCTCCACTTTTTCGATTGCGCTCTCGGCGTCATACGATATAACGTACCGGGCTTACAACCAACTTAATTCATGACTGAGGGGTTAACCTCAAGAAAGGGGTGGGTCAACTTCAGGTCATCGAACGACTAGGGGCCACCTTCGCAGCCTAGGAGCATCAAGAAATCATGGGAGAGCTAATGTGTCAGTTGAATAGTAATTGGTGAAATAACATGATAAAAAGAAATCATAAATTCATGCAGAAAATATGGTCGAACTAATGAGTAACGATGAGTAACGCCACATTCTCGGTCTGTGGGAACTTCATCGAAGCGTGCTGTAATGCAGAAAAACTAGCATTTCACTAGTTTAGACTCGAAATTACTAATCCAATCCCTACAAGAATCGTTTACGGATAATTCTCGCATTCCTTCCCAAATGAATACGTAAGTTGTGTTTACTGGAGACAAAGTACAAAGTTCCACGCAAGAAGATTCAGTTTCCGAAGAGAAATAGATCTACGAAAACCACATTCTGAGGACGGTCACAGGTAGGTAGGGAGGAGCCGAGGGAGTGCATGGAAAGAGGTGCATATGTGGGCATCTCAGCTACGTATCAGGCGACACATTGAAAGAATCGGGTTGAAGCGTTCGAATTTGGAGAATAGAGACAAAACGATCGATAGAATAGGATGCAGTAGAAAAGAGAAATGTTATGCCACAGTTGCAGAAGGCCAAAAAGAGTTTCCGTGAAGGGACATCGAGACTCACGTGGTCGCTCCCGTTGCCAATATTTGTGGCAGATTTACGGTTGGAATTTCTTTTTTTCTGGAAAAGAAGGTCATTGAATAGAAGAGATTTGCTTTTTCTAAATCCTTCCATGATGTACAGGAGTGGGAGCAAAAAAAGGTATTTTGCCCATATCGCACTCCAGTGATCCTTTCGTCGCAAGATTGCCGCCTTTGACGGAAGTCTTACAACAAAATATTCTCCAAATGTCTCTCTATAAGCAAGAGCAAGCCCTCTTTCACCGAATGGCCCTCTTCCACCGAACAACTGAAGAATATCATCTGCCATCGGCTCGTCGAGCTCAAGAACACTGCCATAACTGCTCCAGTCTAAAGCTCTCACATAATTTCTCGAATCGATTCATTATTGGATAATTTCCTGGAGACATTAATTTTGACTGAGGGAGCTCCTCTTGAACAATTTCCCAGAAACCTTCGTAATGGTGTACGACCGTCGAGGATGCCCTTGAGCTCAACTCGTACTTTGTGACCCCATAGCAGATTTTTCTGATGTTGCCCATGTAGAAGACTGCTATGAAGTTATTTTTATGGAATGGAATGTGCTCTTCAATTTCAAGTTGTGAGCACTCGCTTTAAATCTAGTATGGTGCGATTAATCCATTTAGAAGTAGAGACAAAAAGCCTTTCTCTTGGCCTCTTTTCACAAGGTTAGCAAAAATAACGGTAACAAGAGCTCACCGCTCACAATTTTCAATTATAAACTCCAGGAGTTTTGATGTACATTGTATATGTTAATTATAACTCTGTGTACAGTCTTGAGTTTGTCCCCTTGAAATGTTCCTAATGCGGGATGGTCAATCCTTCAAATCCTTGAGGAACAATAAATTCTTTGCTCCGACGAACTGGTTTATTGTGTTACATTGCAAAACGGTTTGGAGTCTCCACGAAACATTTGTGACGACCATTACGAACTTCAATGGGCTATCTACTAGCATCAATAGACCTGGATGTGGAAAGTGATCACAGAAGTAACATCTCGACGATACCTACGACGCAGCGCTGGGATCCAGCTCACTCGAGTCGTCGCTTGTTCGCAGAAACTACTATCGAGCGCATTTTTGCCATGTGTTGTTGGTATACCTCAATAAGAACTGTTACAAGAATAACTGCTTCAGTTCCTAAACGACGCGAGCAAATTGAAAGGAATGCAAAGATTATAAGAATGGTTGTCTCGATTGCGTTATGCGCTTCGTTTGTCATCCATTTCCACCGTTGTTGCAAATAACTCACGTAAATAAAATGATGACGAGCGAAGTAGAATTAGACAGATAGCTAATAGAATACAACTGCAACCAATTAATTTCCTTGTCGGTTGTCAACTGCCACTTTCTCGCGGCCGTCGTCAGTTGTGGTGTATGGTCTGCACCCGACACTTTCTCGCCTTTTAAAGGCGAGGGTACATTGCCGATGTTCTCGGGAAATCTCATTCAATGTGTCCACAACTCAACCACCCTTCTATATATGAACAATCGTCGCTATGTGCGATAGTTACCACTCAGAACACATCGATATCTTTGATTGCAAAAAGTCGAAGTCTAAGGATAAAGAGGGATAGGTCTGTAGGCAGGTGGATCAACTCTTTTCCGAGTCACTTACTATTATTCCATAGAATGATTTTATGCTGTAGCGAATAACTATGACACATTATCCCCATTTACTATTTCATTTTAAATGAGTCCCTTGTCCCTTAGAACGACAAGTATCCAAGATCTAGTCATCTAGTCCAGACATACTCGTTAGTACCAATGACTACAATAAGCGAACAATACCATTACATAAGAAAAAAAAGCTATGGTGTTTGAGGCCCTCACTAATGAAATCGACTGGTCTGTATAAAAAACTAAAGCTTTTCTTCATGGCATAATGGTCAATATGTTGCAAAGAGTCTTGCAAAGAGTACGATTATTTGGTGCTATCATGCGAAGAAAGGGATGGAATACATTATTGAAACAATGACAAGAAAAACCTAAAACAATGTCGTGGTGACCACTGCTACGCTGTTTGCTTTGTTGACAGCCATTTTCCGACAAAGGATGTCATGTAAGAAATTACGGTAAGGACCAATAAAATACAAACTGAGCAAAGCATTGAGAAGAGCCGGCATAGATGGAATAACCATGATAAGATATTCGAAAATTCTGCTTTGTAACCCGAGATGTGTCAACACCACGTAAAGAACTGCAATAGGTACGTGAAATAAGCATGGTAGAATAGCTTGTAGTGAGAGCGCCTGGAAAGCGGACATTTGAAAATTGAGACATATTCAAGAAAAGCTTTGTATTGAATCGCTCAAAGCTTACCTATTCGGTTAGATTTACGGCCCATATCTGTTCTAATGCCCCTTACTTTGTCTTAGTTTAGTTGTACTGTAGTCGATTAAAATGTAAAGGCAGTGGTAGCGTTGACTGTGGTGAGGTGCGGTTTTGATGACGCCACCAAATATCGGTTATTTGAAACCCTGAACGTGCTGAGGGTGTAATTGGTGCCCCTAAACACGTTGGGATTGATGTTGGTCAATGTTGACCAACAACCACTCTGTGCTGTGGGCCAATGTCGACGGTGAGCGACAGCATGTAAGCTGGCAAAGTCAACCAAGGCTTGCAATTCTGTTTGAATAGTAACTTCAAAGTTTATTTATTTATTTATGCGTACAATGACGCGCCAGCTACAACAGGCGAAGCGGGACTGACTGCATGACTCAGAAAGAACAGAAAAAAATTATAACATAAACTGATAATTATAATGGCAGCTATTAAGACATTGCAAGTAAAAAAAATGAAAAAGAATGAAAATGAAATAAACAGTAAAGAAGGACTACTGAGTGAGGAAAAGAAGAGAAGAAGTTGTTCAGGCAAGCTGCTTCCCTCGGCGAACGGGACAAGGAAGGGCATCATGTGCTCACGCAAACGAAGTCACACGAAGCTACGAAGACTCAAGCCAGAACTCTTTGGGATTAGCATTGCAGTTTAAGTCAGCACCAGTCGGCCATGGTGCCCTTGCGCCACTTGAGGGGTCATGGGAGTTTACCGGAACTTCGAGACACGGGTATGCCGACCACCCACGTGGAACCGGCAAACTTGACAGAATCCGCGACGCATCCTCCCAAATTCTTAGGCTAGAGTAGTCGTAGCCGCGTTTTAGTGTTTTTTGGGAGGGGGTCACCTTCAACAGTGATGGATTTGCTTACTGTAGAATTTAAGAGTGTCCCAAGAGTGAATCTGCTAAACCTGAGCAACAACAGAAAACTAGACAGGAAACACGGAAATAGACTATGATACGTCGTCAACACCAAGAACTTCTAATGAATTGAGCTTCTTTAGCGCTACTTTGAACTGAGAAGGAGTTATTGATACGGTCCTGACTGCGACTTGCAAGGACTGAATTGCAGGATCTCTTGACCTGGATTGATTAGCGACTGTAAAAACAAGCAAATTAAATAATAATCACAAAGCTGCTGCTATAGCAAAATGGAAGTTTCATTAACACGTTGGCGACAATGTCGCCCGATGCCGGGCGACACCCCTTGAATTTTATTCCTTTGCGCATATTCCAAATTTTGAGCGGTGCTATATTAACCCGGAATACGTTGTCAAACTTGTAATGGCCACGTTCTTTGAACATCTTTCACAGTGAAAGTTTTACAGAAGGGTTGCTTGGAATTGCTTCTTCAGTGATAAGGTTGTTCTTTCTTGATGTAGAAAGCTGCCTTTTTGTATGCTATTAGCTAGCTCAATGATACAACAATTGGCAAAAAAGAGATTTGTGTTCAACCTCATTTGTGGATTCTACAGTGGAAAATTGGAATTTTCCAAAAGCGTTCCACAATCATCACACACAATTGCGCGGCACCATCGAGAGGACGATTTTTGCTTGGTTTGCAGCCATTAAGCATTTGTACGAGACAAATGATGTTTCAGCAGTTTCCGCATTGTGTTCTCATTGATTTGGTATGTACACCGTATGGAAGCGTTTCAGCATTAGGACGCAATTTTCGGGAACACCCAAAAACTGCTTGGTCGCCAATGTGTTAATGTTATTATGACGTCATCGCTACAGTGATGTCCATTTGAGCTTTCTGGAGCCCAGACGAGAAATAGTCTTTTTACCTTTTTATAACTCAGTGACACCCATACGCCAAAAGGAAGCCAATACTACCCCCTAAATTTTTTTATTGTTGAACGACAGTCATTTTAATCGTGGTGATGAGGGTCAAAGCGAGCGTCCGAGGAACAAATATAGCAAAAATAACCGCACACCCCCCTCCGCTCTGCCAGCCGAAGTCACATCAGACACACCTCTTTCACAGACACCTAAAAGTTGTTTAATTCTCCACCAAAACTGCTCATAAAAAGCCCTGCTACCCCCCCATCGTCCACAAAAAACTCGTTTAAAAAGTATAAAAGTGAAAAAGTCAAAGAATGATCATTAATGACGAGTCCTGTCAAACGAGCAAACGAGAAACGGAGCAAAAAACGTCAAACTAGTCACTAGAAATGGCGTACTATGACAACACCTCTTCTTTGTTTATTTCCTCCACAAGACTTACCAAATTCTAGTACTACACAGATTATGGTTCTCAATTTACACGTCCCCCTTTCGCTCAAAGGAAGCCTTGTAAAAGCCTTCGCCAGCTGTGTGTTGACTGGACTTTGGCGTTGACCGTGGAGCAGCTTATTTACTATTGAAATTTGAACAAATATTCAAATGATTATAACTTTCTTCAAAGTTAACGAATTTTCAATCTGAAAGCTGATTTGGGAGTTTTGTGAAGAGCTTTTTCTAATCAGTACTGAAATTACAGGAAGTTATATAAGAAATAACAAATTTAGATCAAATAACGAGGAAAATTCGAGACGAGCACGAGTTTTTACACTTTCCGGAGCAATAACTTGCTTCATTTCCAAATTCAAAAAGTTGATACGTCATACAAAACTAGAAGATTTTCTCTATCAAACGGTCGCTAAAGCAGCTTCATACGTCCAGTACTCAAAAAATGGCCACGTTGAGGATTTTTGCAAAATTAACGAGGAAAATTCGTGATGAGTGCGAGTTTTTACGCTTTCCAAAGCCATAACTCCGTTCAAACTCATGCAATCTGGAAAGTTAATACGTCATCATAAACTAGAAGATTTGCTCTTTCTATAGGCAACTAAAACTGCTAAATACGTTCACTATTTAAAAAATGGCCACGTTGAGGATTTTTGCCCGAGTACCGCCGAAAGGTACTTTTTCGCTACATTAGCACTATCCCAACGACTATAGCTCCTTGCAGGAGCGATTACATACTGAAGTAGGAGCAGATTCAAAATCCTCGTGCTTTTCTCTCTGCAAAAAGTGTAAAATTGTTTAGCGGGTCTCAACTTTAAAGGTTACATGCTTGTGAATTTGACGCTGAAGGCTGCGTTTCTTGTTGAATAGTGTACTCCTCTCTGTAATTTAACATGAACTCTTTCAGAACCCTCTTGATTCTTCCTGAATTAAGATTCGTTATCAAGATAGCCGTAGCTGAAGCGCGCGCAACCAACTGGGCCCACTCTGGGATGCGCCGTGTGCTTCACATCTCGTTGGATTTGAGGACCTACTTGAAAGATAAAATATCCCTAGAAAACGTGCGAATTTCGGATCCTTTGACTTGTGTGGTGATGAAACACTAAAGTCACTAAGAATTGCTAAGCGGACACCTCTAAATCACGAAGATTTTGTGTGGACGGAATCAATTGTTATTGGAAATACTCTGGCCTGGTATCGATTCGATCCTTAATGTTTGTCCTCCGACGATGATCCTACTGTATCAATCGGGCCCGATCTCTCCCCAGCGGGCCAATACGACCCCCCCCCCTCTGTGACATGTCGAGGATTCCTCAACGCACGCTTGACCCTGCGTGTGATCCTCTAGTTCAATTGTGCATACATTATATAGAATACACGTCATTTAAAAAAACATCATTGCCAGGTATGGCATAACCAAGTTTATACGCTTACATCTCATGCAGAATAGTATCGTCGGAGCTCCTAGAAATGGTTAGATATCTGTAATTTCGGAAACATAACTTATATCAACACGAGATTGAAAACTGCTCGAAACTACGCCTTCTATACCATCACCTCCAAAGGTTGACCAAAACCAAGTGATACCACTGAAATTTCACTAAACAATCAGTGATAGTAACTGTACTGCTGGTTTTTGGAGAGTGCATAGGGTTTTCTACTCAAAATTTTTCCGTACAGCTTGGCCCTCTTCAACCGCCGAGATCCTCATTCTCTTTGTAGTCCCATCCACTTGTGACATCAAGACCTCGCGGAGGTGACGTAAATGCAACAAACAGGGCTTTCATATAGTAGAGGGCATCGGCATAATTGTGACATAACTGCAAAATGGCACATCAGGGCCTAACTGCACCTCAGGTCCGTTATTGATTGGTTTACTGAGTCCTGCTAGTTACCCGGTTGTTTATTCCATGAGCTTCCTTATCAGTGCATTTTGCGGACGGACACATACATACATACATACAAACCGACTCACCAATTTTAGCGGTTGGTAAAAAGAGAGGATTATCGAGATTTGAACAGTCAAGAAAATGCGCCTTTGCAACCACCTACCAACCCAGTGTCGCAATGACCGTCATCGCCCGCCCACCAACCGCGATATCCCCGTGAATCTCTACCTTTAACACATCCACAACGGTTGCAGCCCACTTGGCTTGTCAAGAGTTGCTGTCATGGGACGATGGCGCTCATTTGGGCTACCAGCTTAAAAGTACTGCCAGTGGCTCACACAGTAATTTTTGGGTTATTAGCAAATTGATTATAGACAAATTTGTAAGTGAAACAGCAGAGTTCACCGAAGGGTTAATACACCTCTTCGAAGAAACATTATTTTAAGCCGCATGGATTTTTTGGTTCAAGCAATTTCTATTTTTGTGATTACTGCATAAGCCATGTAAACAAAAAGAACAATGGAAGTAAAGTGAAATGTTGTGTACGGGAGCATAATTTTGAGTAGAACAACGCTAGAAATTCTTTCAGCCTCCAACGCAGCAAAGTGAACGAATGATACCTTTTCATTGTCGCCACACGTCGTTTTAACCCTTTGAAGACTATGGCACCCACCGGTGCGCGCCACTATGTTCGCTGCGTGGGACATTGGCACCCAGTGGTGGGTCCACCTCAAAGTTTCGTTCTTTGCGCATTCCAAACATTTGTAGCGATCTTCGTATAAAACAGCTCCGCTCCATGAATATCTATGATAGCACGGCTTAGAAAAATGCTCTATGAAGAGCTGATGACCTCGAAATCTTAGAACTCGACACCATTTTAGCCATCGCCAGCATTAATTGGGGTTTTGCATTATTAGGCTGAATATTAATTAATAATCTGCACTTCTCCGTCTTCTCATGGCCCTCATATATGGGAAAGGGGTCTGGGGTGTTTCGAAAATTCTCTTGGACACCTGAAATTTTAGAGGTTCAGCCCTCCTTCCCTTTACAACCAATTGCGAGCGAGAGATGGGCACGCCAAAAAGAGGCGTGGTCCCGAGCAAGCTCCGTGCAAAGTTGCATTGTCGTCAAAGGGTTGATCGATATTTAGCATAGCATACGTAGTTTACTCTACGCATTGAATGCTGCTGAAATTATTTTGTGACGTTTTTATTCATTCACAACACAAAATCCACTGATGTGGAATGAGGCAGCGGCGTTCACAAAATCGCGTTCGTCCCACGCAACCGAAAGTGGAAAAGGGGCGCCGTTGTGAATGTGTTGTAAAACAGTAGATTTTGTTTGGAAGAAATCAAAAAAAACTCAGAGTAATTGATAGTATACCAATGCAAGACGTCCTGATGATGCTATTGTTGTCGCTGAGAGACCGTGTTTAAGACTGTTGAGACGTTTAACTATAAGATACCGCCAATAGAATATAAGCGCTGGTAAGAGAAATGATTGTATTACGAGAATCAGTGTATTTTTCTTGTAGGAAATATGAGTAATAATGGTGCCGCCGAATTCCCCGTAATTTGCAGTATCAGGATCTGCCGCCAATATAACAGACATCACATAATCATATTCCTTTTGTGAAACTGTGGGTGTGACCTGAAAGAGTACTCGATATATACAGTATCGACAAAAGGGTTGTGTGACAGGGAGTCCGGGAACTTCGAGAATTACCACAGTTTCGTTTATAGGCAGTGTAGCGCAATAATTTGTTGAAGAATTCGTGCGGACATTGGAGGTAAGAAGACGATTTGTAAAACAGAAAGAAACTATACGTGAAGTGAAAGGAAGTTTTCGTGAAGATTATTCATCCACAAACACATTACAATGAGCGTCGAACAATGTTTTAGGCTTTCGGCCCCATCACTTCATCTTTAACATTCAGGTCGCTCGGCTAGTCAGATGCGGAACAAGTTACTGTAGTGCTCAAGCAACGACACGTCCACCACCACAAGCAGCTGTAGATGGTGCGATTGCTTCACAGACAAAGAGTCCTGCTTCACTGAAGTTCTTCGACACAGACCCCCTCTTTCTTTCAATAGTCAATAAACCATTATGAGAGAGGTAAGGTGAAGGAGGAGTGTATAAATAAGTTTGTTGATCATTATAATACAAAGTTTATAATTTTCGAAAATTGTGATGTTCACCTGGGTAACCTATCTAATGCCGTTGGCATTGACAATAAAGCAGGAAGGGTAGTTTGTCAGAAAGCCACAGGGATTTCTATTTCGAATGGTCGCACATGCTTGATACAACTTACTTCAGATTAAAGCTCATGTGAGTTATGGACCACCCTTAATACTCTCAATATACTCTGGTCAATATGAAGAACTCAGACACTCACCATGCATAATGGTATAACGTAGGAAAGAAGAATGCTAAAAATGACTTTAGTGCGAGTCACTGTTGCCATTTTCATAACAGAGTAGCGAAAATACATAGCAGCTCCAACCGCGAAGGCCAAATTAACCAGGAATGCGTTGTAGACTGAGTAAGCCACTCCTGCTGTCACTGGACCCATTGATCTGCATGGTCCAATTGGTAAAAGAGCCAGCACGTTCTAATAGTTATAACCCTGAAAAACATGTGAGAAAAGTATCGAAGAGCCTCGAAAATTATGGATACTTCGACTTTCAAGATGGTTCTTCCATGACAACCTACACATTGCAATCGCCTTCGCGGACAACCTATGTTTTCATAGTGTAAGTTAACTCGAGCGGCATTTCACGATCTTGTGTGAGTTTACTTCTTCTGACATCAGTGCAAAATGACAGTACTTCCCTTTCCTCTGAAAAAGTGAGTGAGCCAAAAATTCTTTCTGGTAAGACCTAGGATGAACATTGGCTCCGCATAACACCATTGAGCCCACGCAGAAATCGATGCTATGTATTCGGCTTCGCCACTGATGGAGGGTTTCCCTTCTTTATTGCTGACATCAAACAGTGTGTACCAAAAGTATCAAAAGCATGCGAACCTCCTGAAATCGATTGTCTGGGGTCAGCTGAGTAGTTCCTCCCATGAAACCTTCGCCTGACTCCTTTTGTCGGTGACCACTATTGGTGTTTTCAACAAATGATTTCATTCTATTTTACAAAGTTTTTTTTGGACTTTTTGCCTGTGAAAAAAGTATGTGAACACCCCGAGGTAGATCAAGTTTCTTCACTGTTGGGATGGGTCGGATGTACCAAACATTCTCTTTAAATAAATTTAGCATGCTAATGGTAAGTGTAGTGTGCTAAATAAATTAACATAGTACAGTTGTGAACATTGCGATAGTGATGATAGATCATGGCCATATAAACATGTTGTTCATATGGACTCTTCACGAGTATGACTGCACTCACTTTTGTATAGTCCCATGCCTGCAAAACAAATTTCTGCTCAACATATCGAAGGCATATCATTCACCAATTTTCTAATTCACTTCTAGCTTTCCTTTCGATATCTGTTCTGCCGCCACTGCCGTCATGACCCTTTATGGAGCATATTTCTGGAGAAGAACAAACACAGATTGGGGCTCGTTGCTGGCCCCTCTCATCAGTAAACCGCAACCCGGCCGTGCGTTCTAGCGTGCCGCAAAACACAGGGTAGCTGCAAAGTGGCCCGGTAAATCAGTCGTTCAAGAACAATTAAGAACGCATTTTTCGAGGATTTTAATTAGCTGGTAAACTACATGTACAAAAGCGCTTATGCGTGGTGTAACCCCTAAGTCGCCTTAGACCTCGATGCTAGCTCCTTATCCCTCAGCGAAAACTTTCACGGTGAGCCGCAGGAAGTTGACATCAGACACTTGCCACCTTTTCTCAAGCTCTTCTTCCAAACCTTCAATGCTGTAATGTGCAGAATTAAGATAAGTACCTGTCGATGGCTCATACACCCGACAAGTCATTAGATCAGGGTGGGGGCGAAAGTGCTGCCACATATGCTTTCCTTCAACGAATCCAAGGAAGGAATGTTGATACAGCGTCTCCAAACTACTCGCTTGAGAGCTCTCTTCTGTTAATCTTTTCTTTTAACACGTTGACGACATTGGGCAGCGCATGCGCATCACACGGTCCCACGCGGTGCTCGTGTGATATTTTTTTTTATTACAAAATATTTTTTCGCGCATGCGCTACTTCTTTTCTAATTTTTTTTGCATCTATTCCATAGACCACCATAATATGACTAGACACGGCGAGGTTCATTGAATGGTTGAATATGCTCCTTTTTAGCGAAGGTTTTCTAAGCCCTACGAATTTCCCAATTGTGTTCATTCCTAGTTTCCTTTATATTCTGATAATCTTGGTCATAAAAAAGAGCAGTAGAAGTAAGTACAGACCCACACATATAGCAAGACATATGTTTTTAGTGGAGCAACCGCGTCAAAATAATTTTGAGGTTCACTGCAGCAAAAGCAACTGAAACTTGCCTTTCATCGCCAGAAAACGTCAATTCGATCGATTTTTTACAGTTGTCCCTTCTGATAAGTTTGACACATCGAATATCATTCTAAACATTTTGTTGCATCCGAGTTTTGGGTATTTAAAGCTCAAAATTCACGGATTTGATGTGAGGCGGCGGCGCCTGCAAAATCGCCGTGGTCCCACGCGGCGCAAAAACCCAAAACGCGCGTTGTCGTCAACGTGTTAAACTTTAGAGCAACTACCTTCAAATGTCCTTGCACTTTGCTCAATGAATACCAATTTTGAAGCGTTTAGCGCTAGCTTTCTGCTCTTGGATTCGTCTCAACCCAATGTGGTTCAGAGTCACAAAGACATTTGAATGGCTTCACAGTAGCGCTGCACCGGTATGGCTTGCCAAAACCGGCCATTGTGATGGTTATTATGATCGTGGAAGCCTAAACCAAGGGATACCATCTTGTTTCGTCCAAGCTGCAGAAACTATATATGCTTCCGCACCATCTCCTTATGATCTCAGTTCAGCTACATCATTTCAGCTGCATAGATCATGTAAGCCCTCTTAGATCCGTAGATACTGAACATTGACTCAAATCAATGAGCTTAGAGTAAGACGGGTCTACCCAAACCATGACTGTGACAGAGGGTCGGATACACTCCTGGAGAAGATGGGGGCAAAAAAATTATCTCGGCGTGCCGTGCCGATCCGCCGTATGGCATTCGCAGCGTCATTACCAGGCGTGTTTTGTAAGCGTAGAATCAAACTTACTTTATCTTGTTGTGAAAAAATTGTACTGTTATAACTGCGTATTATGGTACAATGGAAGGCGGTGATTAGCATTTGGAAAAAACGTTTTTTTTAAAAAGTGGCTCACCGCAAACGTGTAACAGGACTTACACAGGTGTGGCGAGGATAAGCAAATATGTGCGTTTTTCGGCGATTGTGAGCTAGTTCAGCACAGGAAGGCTCAAAACACGAAAATTTTAAAGCTCCGAAATCGCTTTATCCATCAGTGTATTGGTAGTAACAGTATTTTTCACTACTTCTCCTGGAAATTTTGTCGTTCTATTGGGCCGGATCTTTGAGTTTGTCTGGTAATGCATTGACCATGCGTTGTTTTCACTACCGGCTCAGAGGCCTACCACACTTTCTAATTCATCTTTTATGCGATGAACACTGTTTTCGCGTTCCTCTCTCAAATGTTCGGACAATAATAGTATATAATTAATTACTCTGGTTTTTACACTTAGAGTTGTTTTGGTTCTCAATATCATCGCATGTACCTTTTTTTGAAAATTTCTATTCGGGGGGGGGGGTGAGATTTTAAGGCAGTTAGTCGGCGTTTCGCACGTGCCCTTAGACGGAGACTGAGGGCACGTGCAAAAACCAATTATAATCTAAAAAGTACTCAGCAAGACCAAGAAAGACAGAAATATGATGAACACAAAAAAAAACAAAACAAAAACACAAAAGACAAATCTCTCTGCGTTACGCTGTAGTGAATTCTAGAGGACAGACAGCGATACAAGACATGATGCGAATCATGGAGAGGGGAGAGAACTACTAGTCAAACGAGCATAGCTGATGTACCAGGATGACACAGAGAAGTTATCGAAAGGTTCGACGGGTGCGGCACGGCAGATCGGAGAATCGTGGGCGGCCTGTCGTCTCAGTGACGCAATTCAAAATCCTGAGTTGTCGCGATCTCTAACTTGCAGACCTAGCACCTCCACCCTTTGAGGTGCAATTTCTAGAGCGTCACCAGCTGAGAGCGAATTCTTCTAAAAAATAGAAGAAATGCCCAGATCAAGAGTGAAGTCCATAGCCATTCCAAAAGTGCAAGCGTCGCAGCTTTGATTTTCCGTCATAATTCAAAGGAATGCGCTCAAGGGCACGGTATAACACCGCGTATAACAGGCTCTTCCATTCCTCCTCTCACGGCGCTTCGTCTCCCCGTCATGCCACAGTCGACCTCACAAGAGAAATTGCAGTATTTTCTATAATGCTTTTTCTTTTTGCTCTATCTTTCCTTTTCGCCCTTCTTGTCCAATTTTCAAACGAAATAGCTCGCCAATTCGATTACGACCACGGCTCGAACCCCGCAATTAACTAAGAATTGTTCAGATTGGATGGATGGGGTTAAAATTCTGAAGAATCTATTAACAAATATCTCCCTGAGGTCAGACACGGATCAGGTGCTGGAATCGCGAAGAAGCTATAAGCCAATTTTTTTTAAATAGACGACTATTTTGATTCTAGAGAAAAACGCTACTACGCTCTTTTATGGTGCTTCGGATGAAATTTGTTACTAAAATAAGTGGAATAGATGTCTTCAAAAGTACCTGTCTTGATTGAAAACTGCCAAGACCGTCACACATATCTGATTGAATGCCATGTTGATAAGTAAGATTTTGAAGTGACTGAACGATGACGGGCTTCTTGTAATAATTAGATAAAGCATCAGGACATTCGTTGGTAGAGAGATACCGAAGAATATCCAATAGTACACATTTATGGCCACTTCAAGACCACCGTCATAACTAGCAGGCATGATTACTGCTCATAAGCAATACTATGGAACCTGCAGGGCGTGTCCTCACTCCTCATTTTCGCAAATTACAGGACTCACATTTTTCTCTTCCAGTATCACGTCATCATTGAAGACAGGTAGACAGAATTCTTTTTCCTGAACTTGCTTTGAAGCAGGAAATGAAGCATAATCGGGCACTGGAGCGTCACTATTATATATCTCCACAGGTACGTTGTTAACTGATATTCAAAACTTTTCTCGCCATTTGTCCGTCCGAATCTCAGAGGGTCAAGCTTAAATTTCAGCTCGCTATGACCTGAAAAATATAATATTATAGCCAAAATCATCACTGCTTCAGCTCTTGCACGTTTTTCGCTCTAATCAATCTATAAAAATAATGTCAATTTGAAGGCCGCTGTTTTCTAAAGACCGATCTCACCGAAGTGATGCGGCCATCCTGTCAGTCGGCTCCTGATTCCTTCTGGTACAATGTAGTCATAAGTATAATATTCGAGCTCAAGTCCAAGAAAAAAATTTCGGCTTGCCGAAAATCCGCATACCAGTCCGGATATGTGATCGGCAACCCAACAAGTTTGAGACCGCTAAAGTCGCTCTTGTGAAGAAGCTTTCCTTTGAGCTCTGTTGCCAGTATTGATGTATTTGCTATTTATTGGTTCAGCTTTCGGCAATAATGCCATCATCAGACCTTAAAATTACAACAATTGCACATGTTCAACTAGTTGATCAGTAAATTACAAGAGCTTCAAGATCACTCATCAATACAATATCAAATGAACCTTAAGATAGCAGTATTTTATCATATCTGTTGCCAGTGATAAATTTCAGAAAGGACATGAGCGCAATGCCAAAAAATTGGGCTCGTCAAAAACGATCAGAACGGAAAGCTTTTGCGTTTCGCAATTGAATATTCTTTCACATTCTTTTCATGCACTGCAGTGCTCATCTATTATAAAAAAGAGGGCAAAACTTTTGCACTAGCCGGGACTGGGAAACGGAGCTGGACTGACGGAGAGTTCTACTCATGCTATTGCACCTTTGTAGTATAACTAAATTGAAGGTTCCTCTTTGGTAGTATGAGTACAAGTTGAAGACGCATCATGCTCGTACATGCGTCACTTTCGGGCACGTTGGTGTAGGATTTCAGTACATCAATGATTTATCATTTATTAGAGTATATCATACTATACGTCGTCTGACAGGGTGGATTTGGTACTTCAACTCTGGACGAATATGGCACCAATTGAACACACCTGAAAGAACATCGATCACCTTTGGTTTCGTTCCACAGCTACTGAACCCTCGGTTTCGTTCTACAGCTACTGAACCTTAACCCTGATGGAAGCCTACCTGAAAGGGAAGAAGGAGAAGCCAGCTCAAGCAGAATTAAGTTTAGTACTCGAACTAGCATGAGCTTCGTAACGGCACAAGTTCGCCGCTTCTCTCTCGTGCCTTAAACCAATATTTTCTCTCTGAAAATGTATACAGGGGAAGAGGGATGAGGTCGTATGGGAACTCGGGAGCGAAGCTGAATAACACAGCCGTTGCCTCGACGGGACGCAATCTTTTCTCACGCTTTAGGCAACACAGCGCGATGGAACGTGGAGTTCCGAAAGAACTGTTGCGCAAGTGTTCAGAAATACGCAAGAAGAAAAGCAGGAATGTTACCCCGTTCTGCTGCTTTACCAATCTCGTTCACAGGTTTTGCACATCACTCATCAGCATTGTGCAAAGCGAAATTCGCAAATAGAAGGAAGAAGAATCTGCGTATCTTTCATTGTCTATCAAATCCAGGAAACAATTATGAAATTGAGCATATGAAAGCTACAGAGATATCCCGATAAGGGTCGCGCTCAAAGTACGAGACGTGTGCAAAGGTATAATAGGGAAATCCAAGCGACAATGAATGATGACTATGAAAAGGAAGCCGACTAACTCCAACTGCAGTAAAGTTGAAATCACTTTTAACTTGCTTGTTTTAGCAAAAACTTAAATCTTGCTCTTTACCACGATCTTAACTTTGCGTGGCACTTTGAAAAGAAATCAAGTAAACAATGGTCTGGAGCGCTGACTACAAATATGGCTGTCAAAACTGAACTTGGTGTCCATATTTGTAGCCAGTGAATTTTCTAAGTAGTGGGTTTTGCAGATTGTGCTTTATCTTCAATAGAGGGCTTTTCATGGCATAGAAACAATGGCTCCGAAAAGGTTATCATTCTCAAAACTTGAAGCATCACTTATATTGAATGTATGATTTCATCTTCGAGGTTCGAGTTCACCGGAAAGATATTACGGCATCAACGTGGTCCCTTTTCCATCGGCGCCACATTCGTTTGTGAG